AGGGTGGAATGAGATGGGATGGATTGGTTAGAATGGGATGGATGGGGATGTGTGGGATGGGATGGGTTTGGATTGATGGGATGGGATGGGATGGGATGGGATGGGATGGGATGGATGCAATGGGATGGGATGGATGGGATGAAATAGGATGGAATGGGACAGGACGGGATGGGATGGAATGGGATGGGGGGGATTTTGGAATGGGATGGAATGGGATGGGGGGGATGGGATGGGATGGGATGGGATGGGATGGGATGGGATGGGATGGGATGGATGCAATGGGATGGTATGGATGCAATGGGATGGTTGGGATGGCTGGGAGCTCAGGGGGCCCCATCACCCCATCAGCACCCAACGCCCCCCCCCCCCCCCCCCCCCCCCCCCCCCCCCCCCAGGACAACTGCCGCCTGTTCCCCAACAAAGACCAGCAGAACTCGGACACGGATTCGTTTGGGGACGCGTGCGATAATTGTCCCAACGTCCCCAACAACGACCAGCGCGACACCGACAGCAACGGCGAGGGGGACGCGTGTGACAACGACATCGACGGCGACGGTGGGTGGGGGGGCGAGGAATTGACGCCCCCCACCCCAAATTGCCGGAAGGGGGGCGTTGGGGGTGCAGGGTGCTGCGCAACGCAGCGCCGCCAGGGGGCGCCAGAGCTCCATTGAGACGCACGTGGAGCCGGGGGTCCGTGGGGGGGGGGGGGGGGGGGGGGGGGGTTTGGGGTCCCTATGGGGTCGTGGTCCCATAGGTGTCGTTTTTTCTCCCTCTTCCCCCTCAAAGGGATCCCAAATATTTTGGATAATTGCCCCAAAGTGCCCAACCCGCTGCAGACGGACCGCGATGAGGACGGAGTTGGGGACGCCTGCGACAGCTGCCCCGAAATGAGCAACCCCACACAGGTGGGACTGGGGGCGTTTGGGGTGTGTGGGATCCTGCCCCATAGATGGGGGGGTTGGGGTCAGGGATGAGCAGAGCTCTGCCCCATAGCTGTGGGGTTTGGGGTCAGAGATGAACAGAGCCCTGCCCCATAGATGAGGGGTTTGGGGTCAGGGATGAGCAGAGCTCTGCCCCATAGCTGTGGGGTTTGGGTGCTGCCCCATATCTATGGGGTTTGGGTGCTGCCCCATATCTGTGGGGTTTGGGTCCTGCCCCATATCTGTGGGTTTGTGCTCTGTGCCCCATAACTGTGGGGTTTTTTCTCCTCCAGACCGACGCTGACAGCGACC